AAAAAAAAAAGAGTAAGTGAGTTTATTAATTATTTATCAATACCATGTAGATTAAAAATCGTGAAATTTTATAAAATTTAAATTAACCTAAATACAACATAACAAAGTAACATAAATAAATATTTATAATAATTATAATTAAAATTTAATTTTATTTTAAATAGAACTTATAGAAAATAATTTTAAATCGTTTTAAGTATTTTTCTAAATTATTCTTATTTTATTTAGATCAATGAATTGTTTTTCTATAAAGTATTTAAAAGATAATTTTAAATAGTATTTTAGTTTAATATTTTATATTACAGACTCGTGCATTGCATCATTGCATGGAAATGTGTGTTAGTATATTTGAAAGCATAGGGACATAAATGAAAGTTAATTAATTAGTATGATCTTTTCCAACAAAACCCATTCTATTAAATATATAAATAGGCACAAGTATAAAATTTTTAAAAATAATAAATGAAAAAAATTAAAAATATGCATACAAAGTATAGGTGTTGACAATGGATTCTTGATGAAAGAGGAAATTCTAGATTGATTGACTACATAGAACAACTTTACAGCATATCTAAAAATCCAATGCATATTCCACTAGAAACATATTTAAGAACACTGGATATTGATGCAAAAGTCCCAAAAATTTCCAATGCCTATCCTAAAAGAATGTTAAAAAAATGGAGTAAGGACGGAAAGCTGAAACATAAAGTACTGGGACGTGATGATAAGATAAAATTCAGTAAAACGAGTATTTACCTATAGTCAACTGTTGGAAGATTTTTATCACTAGCGATTCCCAAACGCTCTTTTAACAGTGACAAAACCTGAAATATTGATACTCACTGAATATATGTAAATGAACAATGAAGTGCATAGAATCTTTTCCGAGTAAGACCCCCAATAATAAATTGAATCACATACAAAGTAACCGTCGTAACAGTAAATTGCAAAAAGAAGTTACCAAAGCAACTAGACATTCAAAGATAGACTGCTTCTATTTCTGGGCAACAATTGGACAGGAAAGAAAGGAGCATAGATTATTCGATGGCTTTTGTTCTCCAACTACAACTGGGCATTAACATGGGAGTTTTGTGCTTCTAGAAACACCAGAGGACAACTTTCATTAACAACATTGAGTGAAGTTTGTTTCTCTCAGTTATATTTACGTTGCATTCTGGTACATTTGGTTAATGGAGTTGTAATTGTTGCGTCTTGTACATGTAAAGATAATGCAAGGACAGAGCATGGGGATTGCATTTGCTACACTAGGTCTAGTCCTTAGTCCAACCTCAGATAGAACACTATCTCAGATTACAATAGTCCAACAATCAGAATTAATCTCCATACGTGTTGGACAGCCAATGATGTGAATGGATCTGTAAAAATCCATCTTTGTTTCACTTGAAGGAAAAGTTATAAATTTGTGATTGGTATAAAATCTTTTGAATTAAACTATTCATTCACTCTCATATTTTCACTCATGTACTACACAATTTCAAGAGAACCAATCATCACCACAATTCCACAAATTATTGACTCACCTACATATTTCTAACAACTTATCATTTTTAATTATTATTTCATTATTCTTAAATCAACTTAAATTTAATCATTACATTTCACGTTATATCCATTCACGCAATAAAGTCTTTTATTGCTATTCCTAGAGGAACGGAAATGACCACAATGAAATTATATTCAACTGCAGCCTAAGTTTACTTTGAGATGCATTCTCCTTCAGCGGTAATTGGTGTCCAATAAGTTATAGACATAAAATGCATAAATATTACCTTAAAAAATAATAGATTGTATTTTATGTCATACTTTTCATGCATCTAGCTAAATATGCTCTCTTGGTCTCTCTGTAATATACCATTTAACAAATGCAAATAAATATTCTTTTTATATGTATCTCTTTACAAACTAAACAGAGATAAGCACTGCCGTAGAACCACTTTGAAAAATGTGTTTTTACTTATATCAGTTTGGTGCTTCAAGACTTACGAGTTATCCAGTATGCAACCAAGATTCCAGAACTTAAGACCTATGCAACTTGTACCTCATCATCATATTTTATATCTGTTATCCACCCTTCTTGCTTAAGTCTTTCAACTTGATATACACCTTCATTGATAAAGTTCTCAACATCTTCTTTCTCCTTTCCTGCAAAAGGAAACAAGATAGAAGGCAAATTCCTCCTGCTTGGGTGTGAGGCAAACGACCCGTTGGAAAATTACCTTTGGCAAGTGAGACTGTCCCTATCCAATTTCTATAAACGTTGTCTAGCAAAGCAGTCAGCATCTCACGGTTTTCCTCAGATATGTTTTTACGAGTAAGTTGATCCCCAGCACTCTTATACTTACCAATCCGTTCTACCTGTGGCTCAATCCCAATTTTCTCCAGGACACCTACAAAACAATTGTTAAATGCCACTCAATAGATAATAATTATATGAAAAGTGCACTGCACAATTCGCATTAGTCAGACACCGTGCACTACATCTTTATTTATCTCCATATGGGGAGAGGGGGTAGGAGAATAGTATTTTACGATTGTCTCAAATTTATTCAACACCAATGCTAAGAAGAAGAAGAACTCACCTCCAAGGAATGACGCCTGAACAGTCAGTCCATACAATTGAAAGTAAGCATCCGGAGGGGCATAAATCTCGTTTAAAGCACTGGCTATGTAATATTCTTTTTCACTACATACTGGCACATAGCCCACAATGAACTTGCCTGCATATTGCAGCACACATTACATCTGGATCACTTTTCAAGACAGTGCAGATAAACTACTTCAACATATGAAGTTTCATTCATCCAGGAGACATAATTATCAAATTTGATCTAATAAAATTTTGCTCCTATTAAAAGCTTCATCCTGTTAGAAAACTATCTAGAGATTTGAGTAACTCTCAGAGGCAAAGTTTCAGTTCTGATGGTAAACTACGCAAATTTTATATTGTGGCACCATCTGAATTAAAAATATGGAATGCAAGAAATCAGAAATCTCAGTCCTCACACAACAGCAGCACAGCCTAAGAGGTTGCAAATATGTGCGCAATTATCTTTCTTTACTGTTACATAAAGTTTTTCATTAATGTAGCAAAATATTCATTTACTTCAAGCGCATTCCAACTTTATCTTAGAAAGCCTCTTAAATGATTTTCAGAATAACAAGAACATGATCCAAAATGGAGCTTATTTTTGGATGAACAAAGACTCAGGGCATGTATAATATCGAAAACAGAGTTAAAAGTAAGAAATGCTTAAAAATTTTGTGTTGCAACACGAATGAAAATAATGTAAATATATAATGTTATATGTAGAGAAGTTCACGAAATTTGAAATGCTATATATAAAATCTTGTAATATTTTATTGTTTGCATAATTTTTAACTTTCATTTAAAGTACAAATATAAAATCTTAATGATTATTTATTGTATAATTATTTTATTCGCGTATATATACACGAGTGTCGCACCAGTGTTATTCATTATGCGGAAAGGTCATACAGAAGTTATTTGTGCAATTAGCTCAGTATTTCCAATGCAAACAAAAAAACGTACGAGTAAAAGGCTATAACTAGGAAAGAACTGGTTACTAGGTTATGACATTGTTGGTACAAACCCTATTGTGATACAACAACCCCGCATGCAAAGTATTGCGGGACCGAGTACTCATCAAACTTTACCACTGTTAAAGCTAGTGTATAAGCCTGGCCAATACTGTTATAACCATGGAACCATCATGAGCATAATAAACGATGGCATCAAGCTAGGATTGAAAGGGAGGCATGAGTCAGCATTTGGTTTCACCAACTACTGCTGTTTAGCACATTTTTTTTTTTTTCACATTTTATTCAAATTGAGCAAGTTATCCCTGTTTTTCCATATCTTTGACAGATTACCAACGCCTCCAAATGGAAACAAGCTTGATTATGACATGCGTATCAGCCAGACTAGTAGTAAAAATACAGGACAATCTTTTGATCAATTCGTTTGACTCAAAGAGCATTTTCTGCGGGATGAATATTCCATTCACCTTAGTGTTCATGGATCCATAGCGTCAAATAGGCTTATGGGATCATCATAATTTGTGTGATCATCATAAGTACAAATCTTGCACACGTCAAATCAGAAAAGTTGATCATATAAACATTCAAAAATATTTCTCATCCAGATCCCATTTCTTTAGTCCATCGCAAACAACAAAATTCCACAGTTTAAAGATAACACCAATTGCGATAGTGACTACCTGATTTCTTAAAATCCAATATGTGTCTGCGAATTTCTTCAACTTTTCCCCATCCACAACTCAAACCATCAATGTGGAGGTAGATACCCGAAATACGGGGATCATACGCTGCTTTTATAAAATTCTCACAAATTTCAGGTAAAGATAACGCTGAGGAGAAACCGCTCTTCAGTTGATCAGATATCTGACGATAGTAAAACAGAGAGAAGACATTGTAAAGATAACTAACCAAAATGATGTAAATAACAAACATCTAAAACTAACATCCAAGAACATAAAAATACCAACTAAGCATGTCAAGACAAGATACAGATTCTTAGAGCTGCACATTCAGTACATGAGAGAATGAGAAGTACATAAGAGTGCATACAATACATAATGTCTCTAGTTGGTTAGAGATATTCATTAACTTTTTGCTCCCGGTAGAGGTAGCATAAACAAGCGACTCAGGGCCAAGATATTTCGAAAATCAAATTCGACGAGATTACCCTGTTCATAGTGGTGGTGTTAGAAAAAGGGCAATGTGCAATAACATAAAAATCCTAATTTCATTATCCTCATTAGCTAGTACCAAAACTCCCCACAAGATTTCCATATATTCATGTTCACTTAAAAGCCCCCCTCATTAACATTCCCTTCAGAACTGTAATGCATTTGAAGAGTTAGCATGAATATTGTTTTCAGATAAAATTTCTTTCATCCCAGCAAAACAGAAAGGAAACAGACACACCTCCCCGCGTAATTTGATGATGAGCACACTGCCCTTCTTGACACGCTCCCAAGGCCATGCAATAAGCATCTTAAGCTTCACAGACAATTTTTTCAAGGAGTCGTACTCTGTGTAAACGAAGTCACCGCTTGGATACTTCTCCTCAGCTACGGATTTGTTCTCATCTCTCTCTGTATCGAAAGCCCTAGCACTTGGATACTTCTCCTCAGCTACGGATTTGTTCTCATCTCTCTCTGAATCAAAAGCCCTGGCGCGCAAAATCTGACGGCTGCGAAAGAGTGAAGTTTTCGAGTGAGGCGTGGTGAGTGAAAAAGAGGACGGCCGTTTGATCCAACAACACGTTGTGGTTTGCAGTTGCAGGTGAGTTCTTGCGATGGAGTGGGAAGTGGGAAGCTGCTGCTGCAGCTGCTGCAGCTGCTGCACCTTCATTCCTTCTTCCTTGCAGTGTTTTTGCAAGAATATGAGACGTTTATTTGGGGATAAATGTGATGCCACGTACCATTATCCAAAAAGGTTCAAACGCAGGAGGGGTGTGGGATTTTAACGGAAGGAGATGTTTCGACTTGGACTATGTTTGGTAAAACTAACCGATAAACTAGCTGATAGCTGATAAATTAGTTTATAGCTTATTAGTAATTACCGAGCTTATAGTTTATGACTTGTAGCTGAAAAGCTAGCTTATATGACAAAAGTGTTTGGTAAAAATTAGCTGATAAGTTAGGTGAAATAAAAAAGCTTACTTGTTTGAAAAGCTACAAAAATAAGCTTATCAAATAAACTCGAGCTTGTCCTACCAAATGGAGTTATAGGGCTTGTTTGGTAATCGGCCATTAGCTATTAGATGTTAGCGGATTGTATTAACTGCTTTGAACAATACATTGTGTTAGTTGTTTTGACCAGCTGATTGTATTTGCGTTTTGTAAAAAAGTGTTTGGTAAAATTAATTATTCTTAATTAGTTGTTACCATGTAAATATACTTATAAGGATATCAGCATACTTATCATTCTTATTTATGTTGAACTTATAAATTATTTAAGAAATATAACTAATTAATATTTTAACTTCACCAATTAGTTGGTTGTGTCTGTTAACTTCACCAATTAGTTTTTTTTTTT